GGGCCGGGCGCTGGTCTGCCCGCTGCGCTCCGGCGTTGGGCAGCCGGAGGAGGGGGGGACGGGGCGGGAGAGGGGCTTTACCTCACGCTGCCGGGGGCTGTGAGGAACCCCTCCTTCCCAACCGGCCGCTTCGCTGCCACCTGCGTTCCCGGGCTCAAAGCGCTTTTTCTTCGTTTTGTTTGGTAAAACCAAGTCGTGTCAGTCTAAAGCTGGGTTTGGTGGTTTTTGTTTGTTTTTTTGTGGGGCTTTTTTTTTTTTTATTTTGGTGGTTTGTACATTTTATAGGGTGCTTTGGAGGAGAAACACACCAAGGGATCTGTGTGGTCCGGCAGATCTCAGAGGAGATGCGAGAGGGGCTTAGCTGTGTGTGTCTCCGTTTAGGACACAGCTGCGGTCCAGTAATCAGTTTCAGACAGCTCAGGGGAGAAGGAATTCTAAATATTTAAATACAAAAGCAGAAAACATTGCCTGGTCCTTCTGACCAACCCGCGAGTGTTTTGAGAAAATAATGACTTCACTTTAAAAATAAGCGTTGCAGCTCTGGTTTCCCTGTGCCGGGCCCTACGCGAGCACTGATGGATGGCAAAGTTTGGTCGCTCCGATTTGGTGTCTGTTTAAATCGCACCTCACACGAATGTCCCCGTGTCCCCAAGGCATGTCGTGGAGCCAGGCTGGAGAGTCCCAGCCTCGGAGGACCTCTCTGCTGAGGAGCATTTCATCTGCGGCCCTGGTGGGGTGGGGAGAGACTCTGCTGCCCGCTGTGTTGGGTTAGCTTGTGTAGCTGTACTGTGAACAGGGAACCGATTCGGCTGGAAAAACCTAATTTACAGATTTTTTTTTGGCTTGTGGCCATGCTGATATGTGGCTAAGAACACTCCTTGTGTGCTGCGTAACTTTGTCAGTAGGCTGCATGATTGAAGATTTAATAAAACGATGAAAGAAAGTATTAGTGTTGTAGCACATATGGATGCAGAAGTGTTTCGCATCGAAGTCCTGGTTTGATTCAGCAACCACGTGTACTTCTGAATGTTAAAAAATAATATACATTTTTCTTTTACTAGCCTGCAGTTGATGCAAAATGAGTGTTCCTGACTACATGCAGTGTGCTGAGGACCATCAGACTCTCCTGGTTGTGGTTCAGCCGGTTGGCATTGTACCCGAAGAGAGCTTTTTCAGGATCTACAAGCGTATTTCAGCAGTGAGTCAAGTTAATGTGCGTGACTCTCAGCGTGTGTTGTATATCCGTTATAGGCACCATTATCCCCCAGAGAACAACGAATGGGGGGATTTTCAGACGCACCGGAAAGTTGTGGGGTTGATAACTATTACAGACTGTTCTTCTGCAAAGGACTGGCCTCAGACTTTTGAAAAATTCCATCTTCAAAAGGAAATGTATGGTTCTACTCTCTATGATTCCCGGTTGTTTGTCTTTGGGCTTCAAGGAGAGATTGCGGAACAACCCCGCACAGATGTGGCATTTTATCCCAGTTATGATGAATGCGAAACTGTGGAGAAGAGAATAGAAGATTTTATTGAATCCCTCTTCATAGTGTTGGAGTCTAAGCGGCTTGACAGAGCCACTGATAAGTCTGGAGACAAGATCCCGCTCCTGTGTGTTCCTTTTGAGAAGAAGGATTTTGTAGGTCTGGACACAGATAGTAGGTAAGCAGCTATTTTTGTTGGCTTGCAGGTCTTGAAAAAATGTATGTGGCAATTGGTAGCTTTTAGAATAAGCCTATTAGAAAGAACAAAGTGTACTTTGTTACTGTGTTATTGTGTATGTCTGCTGTAATTTAAGAGAATTTAATCTGTAGTCTGACCATAGTTGATGTTTTCAGTTTATATGTATGTATTTAATTTATAAGGCTGATCAAATAGTAGGAAGAAGTCACAGGAAAGGTTTGATAGATTCTGCTATAAAGAAACTTTTTGCTGGAAAACTTCAAATGGTTTATAGATATACAGTATTAATAAAGAAATTTAATTAACAGCAATGAAAAATAATTTTATATTATGTTGAGTAGTATTTGAATAATTCTACTTACGGTGTTTTTTTTTTTCCCTAAGCTTCTGTCTACTTTTTCATCCGATGAAACAATGGCCATTTATGTTGGTGACTAAGTCCAGCATCTTTCCTTGTTTTTCACTTTTATTTAATTAGTTGATATTCTTGACCCATCTTGTTTTGCTACCATTCTTCTCACAACTGTTCTCTTTGGTTTTGTGTATGTCATAGTTTGGTTTGTTTCTTTTTTTTTTTTTTTTCCTCCATATCACATCTTTCCTTCCTAACCATTCGCATGCTCAGCTTTCAGATTTGAGCATTACATAGTTCTGGTATTAGGGATTAGTAATTCTGGCTTGTTAGATACAGGCAGGTGCACAACATGACTCCGCTGTTTACAGTCACGTACAAAGGACAGAAGCAACCGTCTTCCTTTTGTCTTGGAAGAGATAGAGGTGTGGAAGCCCTATCAAAATACAGAGTATGTGTGGGATGGTATCTTCCACATCTGTCCTGTACTACTAGGGATGCCAGCGGAGGTTATTGTGTGTAAAAGCTCAGAGGTATCTGGGCTGGGTTGTCCAGAGCTGTCCAGGCAGGTTTGCGAAGCCTTCTGATTGTGTTAATCAGCTCTGCCTGCATAATTAGTCCCAGCTTTCGAATCTGGGTATAAGAATGTGAAATACTGGAAGAAAGTATTTTAAGTTTCTGATTAGTTTGAAGCCCTCCATTAAATTATCTCTGGCTACTTGAAGGACCAATAGTACCTTTCTCCCCTGGTCCCGCTCCTCTTTGCTCTGACTTGCTTATCCCATGTTGTTTCCTACTTGAGCTACTCTTTCAGTGTTGTAGTTAATCCCCACGCTATTCAACTTTCGTTAGCAGTATAAATTACTATGTTACTGGGTTTTTTTTGTGCTCTGCACTGGGTGGTAAAGTTCTGTAGACTTAGATGAGCCCTTTTGGAATCTCAGCTTTAGATGAATTTTAGTTGAACATAATCATGAAGATTTCCTGTTCCAATTAGTGAGGAAAACTACAGGTTTTGGCCAAGAATCTCAAAATCAGAATTTATTATGCTGCTCAATTGTGTCTCTTTAAATAGCATGCTTCCAAATTGTACTTTGGAAGTCAGTTCCTTACATAAATTACTTACTTTTGAGCAGTGGCTGTGATGTAGCTAGTAGATAAATATTTCCTGTGAAGTTCTGAACTGGTGGGGAGTTCAAATAACAGGTAGTATGTTTGTACCTATATATCCAAGAAGATATTTTATGCTTTTACACTGAAGAGTTGAATATAGTGTGATGCTTGAATCCTTTGCAAAATGAAAGCTGTATGCCCCTGGTTCTGTAAACATATGGGTTTATAAAGAGTTAAGCACTGGGTCAGCTATGCCAGCAGCCTTGCTTGGTGGTTTGAATGCCAACAGGTTTTTTAGTAAGTGTAGATCAATGGATATACTTTAAATGTTTGTGGCACTTAACTGCTCAAAGAAAAGGTGTTAAATATTCTAATCTTTCCTCTTTCTGTTCAGTAAGAAAGTTTTTCAGCTTTTTATTTTTGGTCTGGAGTTAGTATTTCCGATTTTTTTAAAAGTTAGGATTTATAGTTGTAGCATAAGCAAGATGAATTAAAAGATCTTTATACTCAGTTTAGTATTTTGCATGGTTGAGTAAGGAAATACTGTTAATGCCTGGACTTTTTTTTTTTAACCTCAGAGTTTTGTAGCAGAAAGGAGAAATTTACGTAATCCCAGGTAAAGATCAGTTGTATTGAAACAAGGAGTTGTCCTTTACTGAGTTAGAAATACATGTCCATGGTGTACCTGAGTGTCTCTGCACAGGGACCTTTCACGTAGCACGACACATCTCTGCTTCTGTCTTCTGCTTAGCAGAAATTCAGGAGAGTGAACTGCGGTTGAACTAAGATCAGTTTATTAAACTAACCTACACTTTCAAGCCTAAGTCTTTAGATGTTATTGCATTTTAGTACTTGAGTTGCAATAAAAGGTTTTTATTGTAACATGTTCTCTTTTGCAGTGACAGATCTCTCAATAAAGGGGAAAGCATTGCATTAAGTCATAATGGGGAAATACAGGGCTAGAATGAACCTTCTTCAGACTCCAGTTTCCATTTTTTTCCAAGATACTATGTGTATAATTCTGTTCAGGGAGGGGTAAAGGTTGTCTGAATGCATGGAGGGCCTATGAGAACATTTGACAGAACAACTTTTGCTACTTTGTTGGTTTTGAGTCTGTCAGTATGAGTTTAAAGTATGACATAAAAAAAAAAAGATTATATTATTGAGATAGTGAGGCAAATGAAACAGCTTTTTCTAGAATAGGTGGAACTTTCTAAAGGATTAAAGGCAATAAGTGTCTCCTTATTCTCTTTTATATACCCTCCATCCCTTTTTTTCTAATGTTATGTATATAATATATCCTGACCTCCCAGTCAGCGTGCAACTAACTGGTTAAAAAGCACCAATACTCTCTATTAAATAGATGGAAAAGAAGGCACACTCTCTTTGCTTATAACAGTACATGTCTTTGCTGCTGTCGTTGCAGATGTCTACTTGGGCTAAATAAGCATATCTTCTCCTGTAACTTATAAAGTGGAAGAGAAATTTCACCATGTGGAGCAAAGGTCTCATTAGATGTAGAGTGCAGCTGTAACCTTGAGCTAATGAACTGGGTTGATACATTGAATGTGAATATGTTAAGAAGTTACATGGGTCATAGTAATTGTGATCACATGATTTGAAGACTAATTAAAGCTACTGAACTTTTTTTGTATCTTAAAAGAGACTTTTCTCCAAGCAATTTATTGTAAAGTACTAAGGTTAATAACTTGTGTTATGATCCGGACTAGATACATGGGACTGATCATCTTGCTCACCCAGTTAATAAGACTGCAGTTAATTTGGTTGCATAATAATTGCAACAAGATTGGCTTCTTTTAAGTTGCAGAGTTCATGAATTAAGAACATGGATTAATAAGATAATTCTTGGAAAAAGTGGAGCTGATATTTGTCTTTTGCAAGCTGCTTGTAAAATGAGCAGAAGAGACAACATTCCCAGAACTCATACTGAGATGATATACATGAAACCGCTGTGTTATTTGTGTAGAATAACTTTTTTTTTTTGCTGGTGGAAAGCTTTATTTATGAAAAATAGTGGGATTAAGTCCTAAGAAGTTTTGAAGAAAGATTGTCCTGTTAACTAGGAGTTGTAGGACTGGGAGTCTGACCTTAGTTTAATTCCTAGAGCACTCAGCCAACAGGTGATCCTGGCAAATCTGTTAATTTTTTCTTTCTGTTTCTTCATCTGTAAATTGGGTAGAATATTTACCTGGTCGCAGGGCTGCTGACCATAATTGAAAAAGTTTCTGAAATCAGTTGTACTTGGTAGTTATTTGTAGAGGCCCGGAGACTGAAAAGAATGGAAATGTGTGTTCTCATGATGATATGAAGGTCCTACAAACTTGAACCTAGGAAACATACTTGCCAGAAATACCAGAAATCCCATTTGTTTAATCTGTTTTATTTCTGTTTTTCAGCTAAAAAAATAAACATACTCATGTATGATTATAAATCTACTTGGTTAAGCTCATTTCAATGTTGTTTACATCAGTTTGTGTCTTGGGTTCTTTCTTTTTTAATACTGCGAAGGCTTCCATTTAATACCATTGAGTGATGAGAAAGTAGGGCTCTATTTATAGATTTGTCTTTCTCTGCACTGTATCGTAGATGGGATTTGTTCACTGATTTATCAAAGTTTATGGTATCTCAGTATGTGTATGTGGGTGTTAATTTTCTTTGTGTTCTCTGTCTTTCTAATTTTTGGTTTGTTCCTTTTTTTTTTTTTTTCTTCTTCTCTCATACTGCCCTGTGAGTTTGTTGTTGGGTCTAAAAAGGTAGGCTGTGATTGCGTATATGTAAAAATAGTTAGCTTTCTTCCGTGTACTGCCTTTTCACTCCGCCTTCATTGCATATTTTAGTGTTGCTTTTTATATTTATTTTTCAGTACACACAAAAATAATTGCTGCCTGGAGCCTTACTACTGTGGTTGACCCCTTTTGGTGTGTTTAGCAATTATATTTGGTAGCAATGCTGAATTTTTTTTGTAGGACACACATAATTTGCTTAGGCGGCTGCTGGCCTCTGGAATTCGCTTTATTTTTTAAACTCCAAAGCCATGAAGCTGTTGCTGCCTGTGTTTGGTTTCCAAATTCAAAAGTTCTGGCAGTTGATCAAATGCCGTAGCTGTGTCTTTTAAGGCTGGGTAATGTTATGATTGGTGATAACTTAGTTCTGCATGCTAATGGGAATTGGCGGAATTTGGTGGAAACTTTTGTTGGAGCATTTTGCATGAATACTTTTGCAAATTCATTTTGCATGTTTCTTCTTTTTAAATTTAGCCACTTTGAAATTTTGAGGATCCAGAAATTCCTTTAAACCTGTTGCTGGATGGTTTGCAGTGAAAATAAATTCTGTCTTGAAATATAATATTGTTGCTCTGAATTTTCCATAAAATGATCCTGGGATCCTAGAAAAGAGTTGGGGATAAAGGGGTAAAACATGTATCCTATATAGCAAATGAGGTAGAAATGGAAATGGTGTGGAGTAGTGCTTTTTTGGTTCCTGGAACAGGTTG